GGGCCGGGCCGGCGGCGGCAGCTCCCTTCAGCGGCGCCTGGAGGTGATGTCAAAACAGGTGATCATCATGAGGTGCGCCTTGCAGAAGTTGACGCGGCTCTCCAGGCGCTCCGTCACGCACTCCAGCGCTTCCAGGTACTCCAGGGAATCCAGCTCCAGGACCTGCTCCAGGTCAACTGCAAAGAAGGAGAAGCCTGCTGGAGACGTGGGGCCAGCGCGGAAGGATGGGCTCAGCCCGGCGGGCCGGCCGGCCGCTGCACCTGCGCCGGCCCCTGCACTGGGTTGGAAGGGCCGAGGCAAGACTTCTGCGCCCTCCTGCCCGACCCTCTGCCTCTCTCAGGTCAACAACAGAACACTGTTTAATACTTGCGATTATACTAGGGCCCTTCGTTCTAGTAACTTTAGATCCCTGACATTTGATTGAGACTATACTGAGGGCCAGAGTGAAATTCCAGCTCTCCCACCTCCACCATCTCCATCTCACGATTTGAGACTCTACCAGCACCATTCTTCTTCATTAACTACAAAATAAATAAATCTTCAACCTGAGGCATGGAGAACATCCCTCCTTTTGGGGGTCTCACCTGAGTGATGTTTCTACCTCTGCCTACTTATAGGAAGTACATTCTCCAGTTAGTCCTTCACACAGCTGTAGGTAGCTGCCTCTCTAAGCAGCTGGAGAAACTTGACCCTATCTCTTGGCCCTTCCTAGCACAATTTCACATACTCATGGTTGTTTGGGAAACAAGATGATGATGAAACCTATGTTGTGGAATGCATGTGATTATGATTCTTTGCTCGGAAGATAAGCTGAGATTTAGAACCCAGATTCCATCCCTAATGTTTAGGCCTGCGCAGAGTAAAGTATCTTTCCTTCAGTTCCTCTAGAGCTGTTATCTGGGGCCATCCCCTCCTGGCCTTCAGCTCCTAATGGGTCCAGGGGTACCTGGGCAGAGGTATGGCTGCCTGGCCCCTGCTCCAGAACTGCTGCAGGAGGACAGGAGTAGACAGCAGCCAGGGTGGTGGGGGCGGCCCTGGAATCCAAGGCAGGAGACTTGCACTTGACCTCCAGGTCGGCCAGGCCTAACATCTGCTGGCACAGGGTCCTTAAAAGTGATAGGAGCATCATAACCGCAAGTCTGCTTATTTTCCTAACTAGAGTAGCCACGAAGAGTAAAACAAAAAGATGATGAATGGTTTGAGAACTGTAATGAGCTACAGGAACACCAGGGGCTGAAATCAAGGCTGATTTCTTTCATAGTGGAGTTAATTGAGCTGCAGAGAAGTGAGGTGTCCTGCTCAGGGTTACACAGTCAGCAAGGACTGGGGCTGGGGATGAGGCTAAGGCTGCTGGATATTGGTCTAATATTTAAAAAACAAACAAAAAAACCCCACAAAAGCTCAACATACCATAACCACATCAGGATCATCTTGAAAATACATCAGAATTAATAAATGAAAAAGCAAATGGAACCCAGCACATGTATTTTGATGCCAACACCCTGCCTGCTTATTACCCACACGGAGGGAATAGTCAGCATACAGCCTCACTGATTTTTTTTTTTAGGTCATTCTAGGTTTCAGTTCATTTTGAAGAACCAGTCTGTGTTTCTCCTTCATGAAGCCTTCTGTTCATCCTCTTAGCATCAAAAAAAAAAAAAAAAAAACCCAAAAACCTGATTCCTGACATATACAGAGGTAAGAAGGAAGTGGTTGTTTCCTGGAAGCATCTACATAGATACTGATATTTAAGCTGCTCCCCTTCTTGGAAAAATGTGACTTTGCAAGATGAAAACAATTTTTTAAGCCTGCCTTAAGCACAAACAGCTCTCAAAAATTAAAATGTTAATGAAAGCAGCAAAAAGGAAGGGGAACTGATGGATGGGCACCCCTGGGATCCTGAAGTGCCTGAGGATCCATGGATGAAGGAAAACAGTGTGCTCAGGTGGGAGAGACAGCGTCAAGCTCCACGCTTATGCCGTGACCAGACTTCAGCTAATGTCCTTGTTCGTGGCTTGTCTGTCCCACTAGAGTCTGGGAATGCCCTGGGGAGCAGTTCAGGGGTCTGTCCAGATTCCTAGCAAGGGAACAGCTCGGTGCATTGTGCAAGTAGGTGCTGAGGACTGTCTGTTGAGGACAATTATTTAGTTTAACTCTGGGACAACTAACACTGGTTACTACGGATGCTGTGCCTTCATCGTGGGCAGGCCATGTAACCAGCACTTGATGATGGACAGTAACTTGTTCACTCTCACAGCAACCCTGTGAAGTAGGCACTGTTGTGTCCCATTTGACAGTTAAGGAAATCAAGGCTCAGAGAGGTTAAGCGTCTTAGCCAAGGATTCACAGCTAGCATCTAAAGCAGGTCTGCATGACTGTGGTCATCACCACATATGGTACAACTCAACATGGTAGGATGCATCATAGACTGGTCCCAGTGCCCTGTCCTCCTGTTCATTTAGTTGATCCTCACAAGAGCCCACGTGGCACTCAGGGGAGATGTTATGACCTCATCATTATGGAAAGGAAACGGCTTGAAGACATACTGTGAAAGTGGCAGGGCCTAGCTGGGAGGCCCATAAATTCTGTCCTTCCTTCTTCACCTAGGATCATTTCACCCAGTATTTCTTAAACCTAAGCCTCCAGAATCTGCCTGTCATGTTCCCCTCACAGGGACACTGGAGAGGGTGCTGTGACATTCAGGGAACAGTCATGAAGAGAGGGAGGCACCAGGAGGCTGAAGGGCTGGAGGGAAGAGCTGGTGGGTGCTGGACAGGAAGGGGAGGGATAGGAATTTTAGTGGAAGTAGTGCATTTTATTCCAGAGACTAAATCATCTAGCATGGGGCTCCATATCAATGAAATAGCTGGGACCAGATTTGAGATTCATTTTGTGGCAAATGGAATGGTTAGGAACAAATAAATAAGAGACAATTGAATCCATCTTTCAAAGAGAGCAAAATTGTTCTGAATTGTCATTAGACGGCTACTGTCATCCTGGGCTTTCTATTAAGCGGAAATAACACTGTGAATGTTATTCTTTTCACTCAAAAAATGTTTTCCTTGCTTTCTGGGTCCTTTGTGAGGCTTTTCTAGGATTGCACATTCTACCCTATTGAGAGTGCTATAAATTCTTGTCTATTTCAGGCTAGATATGCAATGTGATTTTGTGGCCTGGGAGCAGGTTTGTAATATAGCCTTCATGTCTGGGCGATCCTCTGCCACATGCAGGGGGTGGAGGGGGGTGGGCGGATCTCATTTTCAGGTGCTTTCGACTGAGACACATTAGAAATAATCTTGCAAGAGCAATACTCCCTGACCTGCTGCTGCCCTCGCCCCCCCATCGGCCCAGGAGAGGGGGACTGCCTCAGTGCTGGGTCTCCAGCTGAGGGGCATCAGACGGCCTTGGGGTCAGATCGCATCTGTGTCCCTCCCAGGCTGGGTGACGAGCCAGGCCTGTGTAGCTGGTGAACCAGGGAGTCACAGAGACAGGCCTTACATTCACTGAGCCACTTGTTGGGATCCAGCATCAGATACTGTTTCGTCGTCTCCAGCTCCTTCATCAGCCACTCGTACTTGGCTCGGACCTCCGCGATTCTCTGCTGGCGATGCTCCAGGATTTTCAGTTTCGCATTGAAGCACATGACCTCCTAGTACACAGATGGGAGGAGATGGGGGTGGAGTGGGGCAGGGGAAAGGACCTTTAGCTCTAATCTAGCCCAGGCAACCTTTTCTGGAAAGGAATGCTTGTGCTTATAGTCATGCAAAAGGAGCCAGTCCTGGGAAGTTTGGGAGGGACCTGGGGGAGCAGCTCAGGCAGCGCATGTGCAGGGAGGGACTATCCCAGGCATTTCTCAAATTTAGAAGGCAGCCAGTGGTCCAAGCTGGAGCCAGGAAAGCGTGGAAAAGCACCAGCTCCCCCAGCCGCTCTCCAGAGCCAGGTGCACAGGCCCATTTGCCAGAGCCCTTGTCTCCCACCCACAGCAGAAGACGCTGGGAGTCTCCGTGGGCCTGGCCCTCCTCTCGGGCACAGCCCAGGGGACCTGCTGGGGAAATGCCACCACCGCTTGCGTGGGGAGGGGCCCGCTCACCTTGCTGTTGCCCCCTCGTCGCCGCTGCAGCCGCTCCACATCGTCGATTTCATAGACTTTAATCTCAAAA